TCTAAGTGTTGAGGGACACCCACAAAGGAAGAGTTGATTCAGCACAGCTGTTAACATATATAGACTACTTAGGGAAACTAAGAGTAGACACATAAACATGCAGCCGCTCTGTTCTATACTAGCAGAGACTGAAAGAAGGGACACATCATGTTATTGACCAAGAAAGAATGAATGCAAGTGCTTGGTGTCAATGAGCGGAAGCACGGGCTATTCGCAAATCAGTCAAGAGCGTACTCCACAGCTGAGCCAAGAAATGCGGTTGGCAACGCTTGCAAGGGCCTCCAATAAAGAGAAGCAGTGGGAAAATTAACTGATCAGATTGATGAGGAAAAGTAAAAGAAAAGTTGCACCGTTAAGAAAATACTAGAATAAACCCTGAAAATTAGAAAAAGTAGAAAGAAGAATTTACATTTGGTCTTGATCATCAGTGGTTTTTAAGTTTTGGTTTTGAACGAGGCTTTCTTAAACAGAATAAAAGGTATTATGTATATGGTCCAAGTGACCTAAATGTTTAATAACAATGCTAAGTTCTCATAAATAAATGTAGAAAGTACAATGGTTCTAATTCAATCAGGAATTCCCGGGTAGGTGGTCTGCCTCGTGCGCTCAGAACAAAGGCTTCTTGTCCTTCTCAGGAGTCTCCATTCAGCTAAAAGACAGTTGCTTCAGTAAACCATTTCTGTGTAAGGCCAAATTAGCTTTGGTTTTGCAGACCATCCAGCCTCGACTCTACCACTACAGCACAAAAGCAGCCACAAACAAAAGGGTATCCTGCGTTCGAATCAAATATTTACAAAAACTGGCAGCCAGCTACATTAGGTCCACACGCTAGTCAGCCTGGTCTGGAGCAAGAGGCCACATGCGGGCAGACGTGGAAGCTGTTGCTTCAGGGTCACACCTGGAAGTAGGGTACACCTCTACCATTAGCTCTTTGGTACGTTCACTCTTGGTCACGTGTCCTCACTTAACTGGAGGCCCTAGCTGTGCATACTGTAAAAAGAAATCTAGAATCTGGAAGCCCTTACCCCCATTTCCAACGTCCAGTGGAAAACCAGCCCAGTGTTACCCAAGACTTGAAAACGATCTAGAACACATCCTCTATGCTTATTTTGTAAAATTATTTACTGTTGATGCAAAAAAAGCACGACATAACAACTTGCTGGGTTAACTATACAGCAAACTGATAATGATAAAATACCTATGATTGGCCCTCCCTGGTGGCGCAGCGGGTTAAAGCACAGCACTGAGAAGCTAAAGCCACTTCCGCATGAGTTCGATCCCCGCCTGCCCCGGAGGTGACCACAGAGCGCGGCAGACCTCTCCTGACCCGCCCGCTGCTCTCCTCAGCAGTGTACTTCGTCGATCTGCCTGTTCTGCTCCCCACTCTGTCTCTGGTGAAGCCTCTCGCCGCCCCTGAGCCCCTGGCCTGTACCCCAGTTCTGTATGAACAAATAAATAAATCTTTAAAAAAAAAAAAAAAACCTATAATTTGTAATTAAAAATCAAGAGTAGCAGCAAACTCAAAACGCAAACAGTTCAATACCAAAAAGCAACCAAACATTTTCCTGAAAATTACAAGAATTACACAATATTCTCTCTTTTTAGAACCGGGCCCACTGTATTTATACTCCCAAGCCCTAGTGCAGTTTTCTCTGGGTCCTAGTTGAACTCTATTTTTCACAGGCTGCACAAAGCTGGGGCAGTAGTCTGATCCACCATGAGGCCTGGAGATAAGGATGACTGGAAAGGGCTCACACTTTTTCCCTGTTGCATGGTGCCGGCAGTCACATGTGACATCACAAGAAGAAAGGAACATGGTTCCTGAGTGACTACGTCTCCCATCTCAATAAATTAAGACTATGACAAGGAGCAATAAATTTTTACATGACAAGCCACTGAGATCTTAAGTTGTTTATTACAATAGTTAACTAACACAGAAAAATATGCTATTTAGGGTATAAATATTAAATGGTATAGTTCTTTACAAAACATATTTAGATTTTCAACAATTCTTAGTTGGACATAAAAAATGTACACGTCGACCTTTCTGAATCTGTTTTCCAGTCTTCCAGAGAGATCTTCACAGTCCATACTAGGCTTGAAGCAGGAGGCCAGTGGGCTGAAAGCAGCACGTTCGGAAACTTGTCTGCTACACTGCGGTCTCAAACAATGTTTTTCTGACCATCTATCACCTCCAGCACCAAGCTGGAAACCAAGGGCAGAGAAGTGAATGAAATGCCAGCCCTGCCCTCCCGATGCACATGGTCATGGGAGAGTAAAAGGCAGCTGAGCCATGAGTGAATGGTGCCAGGGGCACAAAAAGACTGGGAAGAAAATGCTGCCCCAAAGGGACCTCTCCTGCAGTGGAGGAAAGGCTCCACGCAGAGGGGTGGGCAAGAGGAAGGGGACTGTAGAGTGCAAAGTGTGGAGAAAAGTATCTCAAAGAGCCCTGTTCTTCGCTGAAGCAACCCAACAAAAACCATAACTCATTTCCTCTACTGGTTTACGTAAGACCAGAGGACCTGTTCCAAAAACAGAAGCAACAGCAGTATTTTTTATGATTTAGTTTCTTCGGGTGGACTTCACACACATTAAAAAATTAAAACTCACTTTTAATAAAGTATTCCTTAGTACTTAGTATTTTTTGGCATAAAGACAATTCTCTAGCTTAATCGCACATTCTTCCCTCAGAGGGCGACAATCTGGTTCCTGTGCACCTGCAGCCCCAGGTGAGCCAGTTCACGCACAGACAACAAAATCAGTTCCCAGCTTACATTTCAGCCTTGACTTTGCTCAGCATTCTCACAGACTACTGGCCCAAGAGTCAGGACACATGGTAAAGAGATCTATTTATCATGACTGGAAGAAAAACAATGTATAGCATGTGTCCTAATGATGTGAGTCTCAAGCTTCGAAAGTGCATTTGGTTTGGCTGTTAATGTCAGAAATCTAAGGTGTCCCATAAAAGCGAGGGTGAGAATCAGGAGAGTAGAAATGCACTGTTACCAGACTAGATACCCTCCATTATCGCCTTTCAAATTCACAAGACAGTGTTTTCCAAAAGTGAACTGCACTCCCCTCCTAGATCTCTTATATACAATACTTCTTTCTGTATGACTAATTAGAGCTACTTTTTACTGCAAATGTCTGACATTTACCACAAAGATGGTATGATACACAAAAAGGGAGCATAACTTCCCAGGAATCTAAATATGTTTCTGTCCTTCTATCTTGCATCTCATGATTAAAAGGGAGTCTTAAATTAAAAAGCCCGTTTTTTATGCAACCATGAAATAGTTCTAAATAAATGAAATAGTTCTAATTTTGATAGAGTATTAATATTGAAATTACCCAAAACCAAACCACCCTGAATCTGGCAAAACATCACACTCACTACTCAGGGCAGTCTAATATATACATATATATATATGTATATATATGTATGTATATATATATATATATATATAGCCCATGTACACACTGATTAAAGACCTGAAACATTTATTTTTCATATCATGCTACAATTCAGCAACAGCATTTTCTTTCATGGTTTCTTGCTTTCCTTTGGGCAACAGTGTTAAAGCCAATCTGTAAGCTACCTCTGAGTTTGCAATCTTCAAAAAAAGTTCACTAAAAACAAATAAATTTCTACTTACCTCTGTGACTTAGGGCTTAAAAATGCAAAATGTGAAGTACACTATGTAAAATATTAAAAAAATGGAAATAGTGCATCCAAACTATGGATTTTTCAATAAAATGTTAGTACCAGATGATAAAAACGTGTTTCTTTGGCACGTAGTCTGTTAAGAAAATTGAACATTTCTAAAGCCATAGCAAATACCCACTGACAAAAAAAAAATACACACTTCCCTCTGAAAAATGTAAATGCGTGTTTTAACATGTCATTAGGAAATTAGAAGAGAGGTGGGAGAGCCCAGCTAAAAGGATAATTTTTAATGTAATCTGTTTATAGTGGGGAAAAAACAAAGCACTGTTTTGAACAAAAGATGACATGACACCTTGCAACAATATTAACAGCAGTCAGCATCTATGAGTTCCCTGTGGGGTCACCCAGTCCTGTCAAGGGGGGCTATTATTGGCCTTGTTTCCAAGATGGAGTTTCAGAGGGCTAGAGCCAGAGCCACCAGGCCAGGAGTCCCACATCAGATCTGCACACTGTACATTAATGCCTGGAGGAAACCTGGAGTACCAAGGCAAGCTTCTGACCACCCTCTTCTGTAAGTCCTTGAAATTCTAATAAATGTTGACACCTACTTCTCTGCTTGAGGTTTCCTTACTCAACTATTCCACCTTCCACTTCTACAAAGTCCATAATTTTAATGAAATGTGCATAGCTCCTATTTGTACTAAAGGAATAAGAAACATACCATAACAAAAACACTCAGGTTTTAAAAATCTAACCTTTATCATGATAATGATTATGCCTATAAATCACCACACAATCTTCAATATACTTAGAGGAGCCACAAGGGTCACTGAATTCCAATAAACATTCACATAAAGAAACAACATACTTCCAAATAGTCATTTAATAAGGATAGTTACCACCTCCCAAACCACTGATACTGAAGTGAACCTGGCATTCTACAGCTGTTTATGGGCCACTACTGGTGCACTGGTCTACAAACTAATCCCCGGAAAAATCACATCTAGAAACAACATATTACCTAAATTTCTGGTTTGAATGAACACCCACTAGCGGGTCATGCTCACGTCTCACTGAAAACTATGCTGAAAACTCTCCATTAGTTCAGTGTGTTTCTAGTTGGCCTTAAGTAGCAACAGACTAGGGTAGGGATTGAGAATCTTTTACCCTTCTAGATCAATTCCAAGAATGTATACAATGTTGCCAAGCACCATAATTAATTATAAAAATAAGAACTTTTCCTTTCAAGTAAAATAAAAGGAATTCAAAAGTCAAATGTTTAAAGGAGGGATCTCCTTTAAATGTTTCCAAAACAGCAGAGGGTTAAGCTTACCTTGAAGATGGTATTATATTTGAAGCCCTGAATTTTGTTGTAAACGGATTAGTTGACTCATAATCAAAATAGCCCTGACGACTTTCACTAAATGCATTGGGCGACTTCAAGTCACATGGGCTATCCGATCCCCCACTGTTAAGTCTATCAGATCTCCGGCTATCTTTTTTTCCAGTCACTCTTTCAAAGAGGCTGACTTTCTCCCTTTTCTCTCTTTTACTTTCTTTCCTTACTTCAATTGGTTTTGAAAATAAATTCATGCCGCTGTCCCATGATTCAGTGCTTTCTTCAAATGGGTTTTTCTTCCTTGGCAGTGTTGCAAATTTTTGGGGTAATGAAGCAGTCACATTTGTAAATGGGTCGTTTTGTCTTCCAAAAGAGGGTTCACCTTCATCCACATTGCTGTCAGGTTGGTTCATTTTAGAAGTATCAAAGCTTAATGTTCTTCTGTGTGGTGATTTGAGACTTCCTGCAAACAATTTTGTAGTTAGTACATAATCAGTGACACATTACATCACACTATTTGACACATTTTGTGTGCATACTGCTGCTTTTAGAATGAGAGCAATTAGCTATTTAAAGGTATTAACCTGTAAAATAATCAAAGAAAACAATCTTAAGATGCTAAGGTATAGGTGTCTGAAGTATGTAGGTTATTAACAATACATTGTGAGACAATCAGTAATTTATTCAGCTCATAAAAACCATGTCAGTTATAATATCACTGCTTCGCGTGATAATGCTATAAATTCTCAGATATTTTTTCATCAGCAGCATTAAATTTACTTTTACTTCTGAAAATAAAAGGTTTTTTCTAGGAATGTTCTGATGGGATGGTATATTCATTTGTGCATCAGAATTTTGAGAGAGAAGAAATAGCTGTTTTTTTTAATAAAAAAAAAAGGCAGTAAAGCCACAAAGAAGACTAGGCCTCTTTTTTATTATCATTTAACAATTTAAATACAATTCGGGATGCAGACAAGTTCCACCACCAATGGGTTTGCCATTTTGGAATATAGCAGGCAATCAAGAAATAGATGAGCACGTTTTGAAAATACAACCAGGCACAGCAATTTTTATTTCCTAACTCTGCAAGTTAAACTTCAGAAACGACAAGGGTAGCTCAGACTACTGACAATACAACCAGAAAGAAAGTGTCACTTACCACCTTCTGGAACTGCTCCAAAGGAATCGATCTGGCGGCCCAGAAGATGTGTTTGACCAATGACGCCAGACTTCAGTTTCTCAGAAGACATGTGGGCCCCAGTTAAATCAGACATTGAATGTGCTGATGAGAGTCGCTGAGGACCCAAAAGGAAAGGCTTTTTTGGTTTGGATTTCATTTGTATTTCACCACTTGAAAATTCAGTATTGGCATCAGGTATGTGAGAACTTGGAATGATTGCTGAAGACGTATCAGAAAATGTTCCATCGTTTTTTCTGCCTTTCATCTTATCTTTTAATTTTGCAAAAGGAGATCTTGTCTTGTCCTTCATGGATAAGTCAAACATGCTTGCTGTCATATTGTTCCTCATAAATTGAATGTTGACCTTTATCTCACCCCTGTTTTTGGCTCTTTTTCCTTGTTTGGACTCTAATCTAAACCACCTTTAAGAGAAGGAAAAAATAGGCTGTAACATGTAATGATGAGAGGATATTAAGCTTTGTTATATACAAATAGCTACTTTGAAAAACTACTATTCTACACATCAAGGCAATGCAAGACTGGCTCAGAACTCATCAGCCAGGCACTCTGGTTTTATTCATCGCTTAATTTACAAAGCTGAGTACTCTCTCTGCGATGTGACATACACTGAAAGAACAGGTCTTCCACATGTTGGAAAGGTCTTTAGATAATCTTTTATCGCATGACTTGAAAATCAACCCGAGAAATTCTTATCAACAATAATATCTCCATCTGGGGTAGATCTTGTTAGTGGCCTAACAACGTATTTTAACATTAAATATTTCAGAGGCTGAAAGAATTCACTACCATAATCTATTTTTGAGTCCTAGAAGAAGATGATCACAAATAATGACCACATGTTAATGAAATAAGAAATATTTAGTCCCTAGCCCAAAATATTTCTCCTGTGAAAATTATTAAAAGAATTTTATTAATATTGGAGACTACCACATGTAGTTCTCTAACCATGAAAGCTGCAAGAATGTAACTGAGGTTCATATAAAACAGATCAAGGACATTTCCTGAATGAAACATGCAAAATACGCAAAGTGCAAGAAGAGACACACAATGATGAATAAAACGCATAAATGCTTCCTGTTAGAAACTATCTGCTTCATTTACTATTGCTACCGGACAATACCACATAAAAAATATTCAATTGATTTTAGTCAATCCATGTGTGACATGCCCATTTTTAAAAGATGTCTAAAGCCGTAAAGTTTATTTTGGTTTTATTTATTTTTATCCAAGAGAAATTCTCCAGTTGACAGTGTCACAAGTGGTCAGTCACAGGACAAACAGCCCAAACTGCAAAACCAAGCCTGGACCACCGAGTTTTGACGTTTTCACATTACTTGACAATGAGGCATAATTTCTTTCCTACAGACAGGTTATTGTTACAGTAGAGCGCTAATCAAGCGCAGCAAGTTTTCTTAGCTACACAGGAATCCCAGTCTAATTTTACATTGGTTATTTCTCTGGCTGTTAGCAAAAGGATGTGCCAGAAACGTGCATTTACAATACACCAAGTAGAAGACTGGTGTACATGCCTTTCCAGGCAGGAGAGAAACTGGCACACAATCACGTACCAGCTATATCCTAACCGGTAACACACTGCAGGTATTTTCTTAAATTCTTGGAGCAATTCAAGCAACTTTTCAAAACAGAATAATGTATAATAGAGCGCATTAACCTGAGACCCTGAACTGAAAAAATCCCTCAATGAGACAAATAGTGAAATTTGAAGACATGGGAACTAAAAATAAGAAGTGGCAACAATAAACTCCATGGAACAGTTTATTAAATCTGCAGGGAGACAATATTAAGAGAATTGCTCATAGCCAAACTTACGTAATTGTGACACTGATAATGGAAAAGCTTGGAAATGAAAGAGCTTCACACCAGTTATTATTAACTCAATTTTGGAAAAAGGTTACTTTCAATGGGGAGGAAATACTTCGCATGATGGTACATACACTCTGCAAAAATTATCAAACAAAACAAAAACCCAAGCACACAGAATCCTATATGCATGACAAATCAAAGCAAATGTTTGGAAAAAATTTAGCCAACAGCCAATAAGTGGAAGGGGGTGTAGATAATCAAAACTCAGAATTTTAAAGGTAAAACCAAATAAATCATTTACTTTAACAATCTCAAGTCATAGATAAGGAAATTGAAGAACAGAGAATAGTAACTTCCCCAAGTCAGATTAAAGTCAATAAGGAAAACAAATTCAAATTGATGGGTAACATCTGCATGAAAGTAGTTCTTTCATACTTGACGAAGCACATATGCTAATAAGGCTAAACAAAGCACAACTGCGGGTCTTCAGGACACTATTTCTCAGGAGAAGGGAGGACCAAACTGGCAGTGTGGTTTTCCATTGCTAGAGTACAAACTCCTTGAAGGCAGTTTGCCTCGCAAGAAATAAGCATTTATTAAACTCCTGTCTCTAGAAGTATATTCTTAAAACCACCAAGTTACAACTCTATTACTGTGTATGTGCCACACTACTTTTTTTTTGGTAAGAACACTAAAGACTCCCGAGAGCTTTCAGGAGTAACTGCAAGTCAGTGTCAGAATACAAACTGTAACTAGAGCATTTCCCACCCCTCTCCCCCAAAGAAAAACCACAAAGAACTTTAACAAATGTACTCATTTAAAATACTGGCATGTAAATAACTTTCACTGCTCTATTTGAAAATGATATAGTAAGGAAGTCTTAACGAGACCTTCAAGAATCATTCCAGAGATAGCACTTGTTTTCCCAGGCTTCAAAAAGATAAAATGAAGACATAGCATTTGAAGCTTAGAGGATTAATGCTGACTTTTTTTTTTTTTTTCACCTCTGGCGTGCTGGATTTAAACTGTACATGGCCTCTGTTCAATTTTTAGTGGGCACAGGTCCATGTTCAAAACCACCACACATGTGGGAACTATTCCCAAGCAATTGGTGCTGTGTGGTCAGAAATGGGACAAGATTGGCAGTGAGGGTGCCAGAGGCCAGGACGCAGGTGCACGCAAGGATGCACACACAGGTCTTAAACGCTGCATGTGTTGGAGTCATACCTAACTCCAGGGACTCTGATGTTATTACTTTTCATGAGCATTTAAAAAAAAAAAAAAATCACCCACTTATGTGGTAAAAAAAAAAATCAATAGATATTACATAACAGCACGAACGATTTTACCATTCTATTATTAAACACCGTATTAGTCCCTTAAATCTCCTGCCAGAACCAACCCAGACACCCATTAAAGTGGGAGATACAGAAGTTCTCTTTCCATGCAGCATTCAAAGTGCTCTGGCCTCAGGTCCTCCCCCTCACCTCTCCAGTTAAATGGGGGTGGGAGAGGAGACATAAGCATTTCATTTCAAGGGACAAACATAGGTAAGATATCAGTTTTAGTTGTCACACTTCTTCACCTGTCATAACACAACTGGAAAACAAGCTGTAAATACTTGTCCTCGGTGTCAAAAGTAAAAAGCGTCACACCCAGCAGTTTCCCGGGACTTCAAAATCAGCTGGCAGCCTTCCTGGCCCATACCAGTTTTCTACAAAGCACTTGGGAATATGCTGACAAGGTGCAGCGCTGTGCAGAATATTAAATATCTTTCTTGCAATACACCGGTGGCTCAAGTCTGTCTCTTAAAGTACCACATGTACAGCTGTACTGGAAAAGGAAACTATTAAATATATTAAAAAACGAGGAATATTACCAATAAAGATATCTCATCAACTATGTGGTCCCCATTTATCCACAAAGAAGAAAATGGTAGGGATTTAATAACACAGGAAAATCACTTTGAATGCAATAACATCACCAGTCCTGCTGATAATATTTAAAAGCATTCCCCCCCAAAAAAGGTTTAATCAATTGTAGATAGTAGCCAATAGAACCCTCCAGTAGAGAAACTACACTATTAGTATGTTGCTTAAAGCCAAATTTATTGCAAGTGTGATGCTGCCAAAGTCAGGGAGTAAAACAAAAACAAACTTTACAAGCTGACCTCATCCTTAGACTCTTTGGGGTCACAGTGGGGCCTACTTTCACTCTAGAAGTTTGCATTTCAGAGGCCTGGAAATATCATCCACTCACATTAAAAGAATTGCAGACACAGTATGAAATCTGAAGTTACAATATACTTCAAAGTACACACTTAAAACATTGTGTATTAACTTTACCCAAAGTTATTAATTTCAAATAAAATAATTGGTATTTACCAATTTTTTTATTGTAAGTTTTGGTGAAGAACTCCTCAGAGGAAACCAAATGTCACTTTGTAAGTACCAAACAGTTCTATTAAAATGACTGATATATATATTTAGCTTCACATTTCTTTAAACCTTTTTCTCCATTTTATAGTGACATTTTCTCAGTTAGTTTAAATATTTACTATTTTTCCACTTACAGTCCTAGTATTAATCTCACTACTCTTTTATCTTAACATATATTAAGTCTTACATAAAGACCTAATGAAAAAAACTCATGAAAACAAAAACTCCAAGAGAAGCTTGTAGGAAGATCTATAAAGAAATTAACATTAAAGGTACCGCAGACACAGTATGAAATTTGAAGTTACAATACACTTCAAAGTTTACAGTTCATAAAATCAACTTATAGTTCTCTCCATACTTCCATCCATCTCAGACTAGAAATAACATAACTTTAAAGAAGTGAGAACATAGTATTTTTTATCTCTGAAAACACTTTCTTCAATTAGAGACATAATGATCTAGTGTTAATTTATGTCATGATTTTTTAAAATTAGAATGTATCTAGTTTAAGCTTGAAAGTCATTGCAAAGGTTGCATTTCCTGGAAAATGTCAGGAAATCATTTCATCACAGGAGTTTAATCACTGTCTCTAACAACATTTTTTATGGTCTACACATACTGGTTTTGCAAGAACCATTCTGAAATAATACACTAGTATTATATATATAATGACTATTCAAAGGAAAAAGTGTATTCATGGTTGAGGATGTCTGTACACACTTTCAAAACTTTTACCCTCCATCAAGTCATACTGTCCCTAAAAAATGGTTGAGCTACCATGCCGCCAACTGTGGTTGTAATGCTGAAATGAAACAGTGAGTTCTAAATTTCGAAACTTATCTTTGGACAGCTTCAGAGTTCAACACACATATACATGTGGCATCGCGTGGGAGATTTAATTTTCTGAAAATATGGGACCAATCGACATGGATGTCCTTTTATTTGGTCAGCACTGTGATCCAGCCCTTACAGTAGAGAAAGAATGTTAATTTATGTAAAATCCAGTGCCAAATACTCAATTATTTAACGAGTTTACCTCAAACAGAATGAAAGAGTAATGGATCGCTAATGACTGCAGTTAAAAATGTGAACTATTTTTCTCCAGATTCATGCAGAGATGGTGCTTAAAACTGGGTCACCTTTCAGTCCAAACACCAACGCCCCAGGTGTACAAATTATTCCCAAGAACAGAAAACCCATCAGTTAAGTTATAGGTAAGCGCCCCCAAATTCGAAATAAACGCCGGAACTTACTCTGTTTTCCTTCTCTGTTTGTCCTCAAAGATGTCATTGAGATTGATTGCCACCTGCCCTAAAAACTTATCCAGGCCCACCAGGGACCTGTGCATCACTATGAGGAAAAGAATGTATTTCTCTGGGTTGCCCTGCATTAGCAGTCCCGGGAGCTCAAAAGAGGCCTCTTCCTTCCAGACAGGCTCAAGGGTTTTCTCGGCCACAGAGGTGGAGTACTTTTCCTTGCCCAGCTGAATTATAGTGTACGTGTCATTGGTGCCACTTTTGCCTTTTGCCCTCAGATCTTTGGCTTGGAGCACAGTGACCTGCACGTGGGTCGGAAACCACTTCTGGGCTTGCTCGGACAGCATCTTTCCCGTCCTGCTCTCCGCACCCAGCTCCCCAGCGCCGGCCGAGCCCCTCCAGGGGGCGGGGAGCCTAGAGCCTTAATCCCTGCATCCTAAGGGCACTTGGCTGAGACGGGCAAACTCAGGCGACCCAACTTCCCGAGGACGAGGTCAAGACGCCCCACTGGGGCAGCCCGGCGGCACGGCCGACGGTGGGGGGGTCCCCTTCGTCCGGAGCAGCACAGGGGCCCACCATCACCCGGCCGCGCCGTCCAGGCCTCCCGCTGGGCCCCGCGCTGGCGTCCGCAGCT